TGCTGTTTGCTGTTGGCTGCTGCTGTCCTGCTGCTGTGTTGGTGGTGGGTGTTGTGCTGCTTGCTGTTGCTGCTGCTTGTTGCTGCTGCTCTGTGTGTTGCGCCCCGCGCGCGTTGTGTGTGTGTGTGTGTGGTTGTGTTGTGTGTGGTGTGTCGTTTTGGGTGTGTGTGTGTGTGTGTGTGATGTGTGTGCATGTGTGGTGTGCTGAGGTGTGTATGGCATACTTATACTATACTTGATGGCACACTGCGCTCCACGGGCTCGCTTCACGTGGATTACAGGGTTACCGTAGAACCCACTCGGATAGAGGCTTCACGCCAGTGGGGCATGACATCAGAAGGGCGTCAATGTCGTCATCAGGGACTACAGTATATATACCCGAACATATATGTATACGCAAGTGTACCAACTTGTACCACAGCGAGTTCCTAACCCTAATCCTAAACATACCTATATAAAAATATAAACATAATACTAACCAAAAGAAAAAAGACCCGTTTCGGTCGCGGCTACATATATGTTAGTACCTGATACGACAACGACCCTTCGGCCGCGTGGGAGGGATAAAAGGTGGGTTATGGGATGGTGGTGTGTGGGGGGGGACGTGCTGAGTGAGTACTGGGGTGAGTCGTAAGGGATGTGGGAGGGTAAGGGTGTAAGGGGCGGGCGTGGGGAAGGGTGCAGGGCGGTGTGGAGGGGTAAGGGATGTGGAGAGGAGTAAATGGTGTGGGGTATGAGAGGGATTAAGTTATAATGAGTAAAGTTATAATAAGTTCGTCTGTCATTTAGAGGGATTTAGATGCTACTTTGTAGTGTAGTAACTAACAAGACAAACTAAAATTTACTTACGTTCTCAGTTCGCTCATCACCACTCTCCTGCCAATCCTCAGAACTGCAAGCAAAGAACAGAAACCAATTAGCTCTCACATCGTATGTGTGCGTGTGGTGTCTGTGTGTGTGTGTGTGTGTGTGTGTGTGGCGTGTGTGTGTGTGTGTGGCCTGCGGCTCCCATCCTCCTGCGTGCGTGTGCGTAGTGCGTGTGCGTGGGTGTGCGTGCGTGTCGCCGTGCGGCGTGATATGCGTTATGTGTGTTTGGTTCGTTGTGCGCGTGTCAAGCTGGAATGGTTTGTACACATTTTTCCCGTTTACACGTCAAATTGTCAACTTCGCGACACTCCGTTCTCAAAATATGATCTTCTAGAACCTCCCATCGCAACACTAGCTATAGCTCCCTGTCACTGGCGACAGACAGGCTGGGAAATTCTTGATCTGTCATGCATGAAGGTGATTGCACCTATGGGTTGCGTTGTTGACACAACGAAGCGGGAAGGACAACAGATCAACGTTCTAGTGATGTTGAGAGAAACAACACAGTAACTGTGGGGGTAGGTCAGGGCGCGCACGCACGCACAGTGTAGTGGGCGAACACTGCGGAACTGACAGCAGAAGCGAGACGCAAGGGAGTTAAAGAGAGGTCGTCACTGTCGTGACGGAGGGAGATGGGTAGAAAGAGAGAGAAGAAGAGCAAGAAGAGAGAGAGAGGGAGAGTGTGTGAGAAAGAGGACGAGAGACAGAAATCGAGAAAGAGAGAGAGCGCTGCGCGCGAGAGAGAGAAAGATGAGGGAGAGAGGGGGGGGAGAGAGAGCCGAGAAAGGGCAGCGCAGAGAAAGCGGGAGAGGTAAGCGACGAGAGCGGCAAGGGTGAGAGAGAAGAGAGAGCCCCGCGCCCCGGGCGAGAGAGCGAGATGACTGCAGAGAGAGCAGAGAGAGGAGAGAGCAGACAGAGGACGAGAGAGGAAGCCGCGGCCTGATGGAGACAGCATATATTTAGCAGCAACAGCACCAGCCGCCAAAAAAACTCTCTCTCCATTTCTCCCCTGCTTGCTGCTGCTGCGATTTTTTCCCAGCACAACCCCCAATCTCGTTACCGTGACCCCCCTCCCTCCCCGTGTGTGTTGTTCAACACGAGATTACAGCATCCGCATTTTTTATGTCGCGGTCACGGAGGATGGGTTTGCGGTATGAGGGATGGGGAAGCGCTGCCCTTTAATGCGCGCTGGGATTGCACGGGCGCAGCAGCGCAGCGCAGCAGTAGCAGCCGCGCAGCGCGCAGCCAGCAGTAGTAGTAGCAGTAGTAGCAGCAGTAGAGTAGTAGCAGCCACAGTAGCAGTTCAGTAGTAGAGTAGCCGCAAGCAGCTGTAGCAGCAGCAGCAGTAGCAGCGCGTACGTACAGTGATATTATTAGAGCCAGCAGCGAGTTAGCAGCAGCAGCAGCCAGCAGAAGCGCCAGCAGTAGTAGCACAGCAGCCGGCCGCACAGCGATGCAGCAGCAGCAGCAGCCGCCAGCAGCCGCAGCCGCAGCATCAGCAGCGTAGCGCAGTAGTAGCAGTATTTACAGTAGCGAAGCAGCAGACCCAGCAGACAGCCAGCAGCAGCCGGGTAGTAGCCAGCAGCAGGAGCAGTAGCCAGCAGCCAGTACAGTCAGTAGTAGTACGGCAGCAGCTAAGCAGCCCAGTAGCAGGCAGCAGCAGCTAGCCCAGCAGCAGCAGCCAGCAGCAGTAGTAGCAGCAACAGCCGCCCGCGCGGGCGTAGCACGCAGCCAGCCAGCAGCCAGCCGCAGCAGCCGCAGCAGAGCCAGCAGCGAGCAGCAGCAGTTAGTGTAGCAGTAGTACACGCAGCAGCACAGCAGCCAGCAGTCAGCAACAGCAGCAGCATGCAGCAGGCAGTAGCAGCAGCAGCGAGCAGCAGCAGTTTAGTAGCAGCAGCAGCAGCAGCAGTAGCCCAGAAGCAGACGAGCAGCAGCACAACAACGTGTGTTGAGGGTGGTGATGTCAGCCGAATAACTCACGGAGGTTACTGCTTCACACACACGCTAACGCTTAGCTGAGCTTAGCTTGCTCTTCGTCGTGTTATGTTATGTTATGCCTTCCCACTCAACCTTCGCGTGGAGTGCGAATTCCTGACTGAGATGTAGAGAAAACACGCGTGGGGGGTTTGGAAGATGAACCCACGCTAGCAGTGAGGTAACGGTGCGGGGTGGTGACACGGGGGTGGTCAGTGACACGCGAGGGGGGGGCGCGCGGTAGCAGTGACGGAACGGGGGTGAGTTGCACCTGCGTGAGCGACGCCTCACACAGGATGTACCCGTCCGTTCACCCACATACACCTGTGCGCTTACGGCAAGCCACACCTGTATCGATAGCGCTATTATTACGGCAGTTTCCCGATAGCGGCGAGGTCACAGCCGACTGATGACAGCGAACGATGCATTCACGGGAACCTGCCGAGTGACCGACTGGTCGACGTATACCTCCGCAGAGAGAGACAGACTCTAGGAGAATGGCGATCGGATGGAGTCGGAGAGGACAGAATTGGAGATGAGAGGAAGAGAGAAGAGAGACGATGTGGTGAGAGACCGAGGAGAGATCGAACGACCGCTCATAGTTCTGCACGAGAGAGAGAGAGAAGAGAGAGAGAGCAGCCGAGAGAGGAGAGAGAGAGAGAGAAAGTAGTAGACAGATGAGAGAGAGGAGAGAGGTATATCTATCCGCGCGATCATCCAATACACGCACGCACCACTCAACGCACGCACGCAACGCACGCATCGATGCACGCACCGCCACTCACGCACGCAGGCACGCACCGCACGCACGCGCACACACACACATCACATCGTGCACGCGGCATGCACGATCACGCTTTGCGCACACGGACGGACGGAGTACGCGATACTCGGCGTCGTTTCTCGTTCCCGGTGATCCTCTCTATACCCCCGTCACACGCGGCCGGTGCGCCTTACTGTCGTTTCGTACGGCGAACGCGAAAATGGCCCAGAGGCGCGGCCACGGTCGCGCATAAGCCGTCTGTGTATAACTGTGGAAACGCCCAGACATCGTGCTGTGTCGCCTATGGTCGCCAGATTTATCGCCAATGATCGCCAGTCGACGGCGTTGTGTTGTGAGCATGTTCAAACAAACGCCAAAGTTCGGCATCTGACCTGGAACGCGGGTAAGAATCGCGATGGTTCCCCACGTTTAGTCGCGACCTTGGACATTTGCTGGTCGCCGTACTGTGCCTGGTCCGCGGTCCTCATGGTCGCGGTCATGCTCCGCCTCCGCCCGTCCGTCCTCCGCTGAGCCACACCTACCCTCTCGCACTTTGCACCAATGGTTGCTGTGACGGGGGTTTGTAAACAGTTCGTATAAGCCGCGCCGTGTTCGTGTACAATTATTCAGTGCGCAGTCTCGATAGCTCCTACACCTGAATCTAATACTTATTCATGTACGTTTTAGTTCCAGCCTCGATTATACTTCCAGCACCTCTAGCTGCTACTTCCATGCGTCGTAATTCTGCTCCCATTCGGTCGCCATGTGTCACATTCTCGCCATGTTGGCGGCTGGTGTCCCTGCAGCGCACGCCGCGGATCATGTCTTATACTTGATCCGACCCGCTTGGAACTCGGATAGCAATTCGCACCTCCTTGTGTTGACAGCGGTTTCGGGCTGTATGGTGTGCGCTTGCTGCGCGTGCAGACTGTCATGGTACGTCGTCCCCACCGGCGATCTTGTGCGTCTGTGAGACGCACGTCGGCGTGCCGTGGGTTGATCAGCGGTGTTTAGCGACGGCGGGGGTTATGCGTGACTTTTCGTTCGCTCTAATACGTGCTGTGCTCTGTGCCGTATTACGTGCCCCGCCATGTGTTATCGCTACTGCTGCGCGGGCGGTGAACGCTGGACCGTGCGCTGGTATCTGCGTAGATCTCCAGTCCCGCGTGGCCGCCTGTATGTTCGTGCGTGTCCGTGATTCGTATACGTTCGTGCGACCCGATGCTTACGTGTGGTGGGGTGGTGAACGTACCCGGTGCCTGTGCCGGCGGTCGCGGCCGCCTGTAGTGTTCGTCTGTGCGCTGGTATACGTGCATGCTTACGTATTCGCGCTGTGGTAACGCTACGGTGAGCCTTGTGTCGTCCCGGTGACAGCGGTGGGCCGCCGGTCGACACGTGGTATGTTCGTGCTTGCCGTAGGCTCGCGTGGCGTATTACGTCGGTGCATCGCGTGACGTGCTGGCCGCGTCGGTCTTAGTGAAGCGTACGGCCGCTATGCGTGCTGCCCGGTTATTGTTCGTACGTGGTGCGTGCGGTATACCGTCGTGCCGATTCCTTACCGTGTGCGCGTTGGTGAGAACGACCGTGCCGTGCGCTGCCGGTGCTGCGGTTGGTATGTCGTGGCGGTGACCGTCTCTCTTGTCGCTCGCGCGGCTGCTTCGTTGTAATGGGTCCCGTGGTCGTGGTGCGTTCCAGCTTAGTGCTGCCGTGGCTGTGTTTGATCATCAATCCAAGCGATGGAGACCGCGGAGTAGCAGCTAGGCAGCGCCAGCAGCAGCCAGCGAGCAGCAGCCAGCAGCGAGCAGCCGATGCAGCGCCAGCAGCCCGAGCGTCGAGCAAACACCAGCCACCCTCACCGTCTGACCAGCCAGAGCTCTAGCCCTCCAGGCCAGAGTCCTAGTGTCTGAGAGATCTTCACTCAAGTGTAAGAACAGCAGCAGTGAGTGAGCAGCGCGCTGAGTAGCAGCCAAGCCACCCAGCCGTGGAGCGAGCAGCAGCAGCGGCAGAGCAAGCCCAGAACGGGTATCGCCGAAACAACAGCAAGCTTAACAGCCGCGCTATCGGGTTCACGCTTCACCTTCTCATCACGTAGGTCGAAGGTGGCACGCCCAGCGGACACCACTAACACCGACGTATACCGCGCGTCACGGCCGCGCCCAGCCGGTGGCGGATCGTGCGGACTTCCCTAAGGGTCACAGAGTTTATTCCTTGGGGGCCGTCCGGTGGTCGCTGCCCGTGCCCAGAAAAACACAGCCGGTTTTTCAGCGCGGGGCGGAATGCGTAATGCGGGTCCGCCGTCTCGCGCTGCCAGTGACCAGCCAGGATGCATCGTCTGTTGATTTATTTACATGGCAGTGCACGGCATATCATTAATGTAAATGCGGTATGTCAAAGGTCTACACAGCATGCCAGCGTAGAGTTATATTAATAACTGTGCGTGTCTATGTCTAAAACGCTGTGACAAGCATGTCATCCAATGTAATTTAATGTGCCGGTGTACTGTTAAAGTTCACAAAGCATGCAATCCGGCGTAAGTTAGACTTTGAAACTGACGCTGTCATGGTGAATCGTTCCAACCCGAGATCCAGACAAATTCGTCTACGCAAATAACTTAAACGCGTGCGGTAGTGCGGTCAAAGTTAGCAACAGGGCGCATGGCCAGCGTAACTGTTTCCCAGGGTCACCAAGTCCTGGGCCGATGCACGGGCCTGCTCAGGCGATGTGGCGCGAAAACGGCTTCGCGATGCTAGTTAGAGGTATCTACAGGCCGGTCACCAGAGAGGAGTAGTTTGCATTACAATGCTCACGTGCTAGTACAGGTTGTGAAAGCATTGCGGGTGAGGGTCGAGGGTGCGTTGACCAGAGACGGAAGGGATGGCACGAAAACTTGGGGGTTGCCTGCGACAGAAGAGAGGGAGGGCAGAAGGCTTTCCCCGGTGCCTTCGCCTCGGAGAATCGAGGGAGGCTAAGAAGCGAGGAGCGTTTGGGGGGAGAAGGGAGGAGGGGCGGAAAGCCTTTTTAGTGGGAGAAGGGTGGAAGGCGGGCGCGAGAAGCTTGGGTTGGAGAACTCGAGAAGGGCCAGTAGTCCGAGATAGGGTCGAAAAGGGCTTCGGCGCGCGTCGTGGGTCGCGAGCAAGGAGGGTAGGGGGACAAAGTGCTGGTGGGAAGGCGAGGAAGTCTCAGAGCGAGAAGTCTGGGTGGAGAAGAGCAGCAGTGTATAACCCCCTGATCAGAGCATAGTATAGTCGTGTGTAATGCGTGAGGTGATGGTGCGTCGTTCTCACAAGTGTCATATCCGTGTTTCACATGATCACACCCACGCCTAGGCTGCGATGACTGTAGCAATAGAACAATGCCTCGTGTTGCCTACCTACTACATGTTGTCTTCACCGTGTGCATGATGTGGTCTAACCTTCTCTAGCTGTGTCTAGTGCTAGTACTTACTGTGTGAGGTGTCACCTATCTCGTGTTGTCTTCAACGTGTGTACATGGCGTGGTCTAACCTTCCCTAGCTGTGTCTAATGCTAGTACTTACTGTGTGAGGTGTCACCTATCTCGTGTTGTCTACACCGTGTGTACATGGCGTGGTCTAACCCTCCCTAGCTGTGTCTAGTGCTAGTACTTACTGTGTGAGGTGTCACCTATCTCGTGTTGTCTTCAACGTGTGTACATGGTGTGGTCTAACCTTCNAAGTTTTCCTGGCGTCGTGCCAGAAAAAACAGCGCGAATGCGTAACGGCGCGTCGCCTGCCGATAGCGGTGCGTGAATGACGTGCTGGCAGCGCCACCTGCCGGGCGCGGTAACCGGGCAACATAATATTACATGAGTTACATTAGTATAGTAAGGGAATAGATAGTAAGAGGAATAGTAAAGGAATAGTAAGGGAATATTACGGAAATATTAAGGGAAATAGTAAAGGGATAGTAAGGGGATAGTAAGGGAATAGTGAGGGACTAGTTAGC